AACACAACTGCCATTAGGGATCATTATTGCCCAGAGTGAGGCAGCTGTTCCAGTCCACTGTGCCAGTCCATTGAAGAATTTGGAGGGTAAGGACTGAAACCTGTGTTCTGGACACTCTATTTCTGAGTCAATACCTGATGCATATTAAATTTCTTGGAGGTGTTTTTTTTAAATAATCAGTTTTGTTTCAAGTATTGCATTTTGCTGTAATTAAGCCTGAAGATCAAAAAAAGCATGGTCCAGATTAGACACATGCGGAACCTTCTGCAAAGTTCAGCACAGGTGAAAGCACTGGTCCCATCACAACAGGGGAAGTAGAGAGGCAAGCTGTGGAGGGAGAGGAGTAACTGACTCCGAGTTCCATCTCAAAAGAAGCTTTTGCTACTTCTATAAAACAGTACATGAATAATATTAACCAGTCACAGAGAGACTTAAAAGCATGAATATAATGATATGGCCCCTGTCCAGGGATAAGAGATGATTCATCGGCATGATCATCACTGTATCAGTTTTGTGTTCAATCTGACCTGAAACCAGGATGAGGGTGCTAGCAGCCAGGGGATGGGATGTACATGGTTCTTCCCATAAGTTTTCACAGTTCTCCCACAGCTCTCTATCACCTTGCTAGGAAAAATAATTTAGATAAATGGAAGCAATTTGTGAAGCCAGCTACATTGGACAACGATTGTTTAAGAAACGGTTGGACAGTTGTTGACCGTAGGGTGGGTGGGAGTTTTACTTTCTTAACGGAAGCACCAGTTATTTGTTAGCAATCTTCCCTTGAACTTCTGACTTTCACTTACAAACCATAAATGTCATGGATTAGAATTACCTTCACCTCCAATATCCCCACTTTAATCACACATCAGGAACGCTTACCAGAGAGCAGCGTTTTTGTCTTGTCTGCCTCCTCTCTTTTCACTCCTGAATAATAACAACCTTTCTTCCACTGGTGCTTGCCAGGCACAGCTGAAATTCCTTGCGTCAGCTGGGCAGCACAGCTGCAGGTACCAGCAACTTCTCCAAGTTGGCCTGTTCCTTTCACTTAACTTCTCCATATTTCACTTTCATAATCAGTTGAATGGATATCCCACTCCTTACCTACCTAATAATAGAATAAAATAACTATCACGGTTAGCACTTAAATATCACCTTTCCTCTTCAGAGTATCTTGCAAACTAATTATTTCACTGAACAACTAATGAGGTGGGGAAGAATTAAATTAGTTCTCCAGGGTGTTGTACAGTTTAATTCATTAACCAGTGTGAGTAAAGTTCTTGGAATTAAAAGCACCATAATGGTGCAAGAATTTTTATTGTTAAGTAATAATTATTATTTGGGGAATTAATTGTCAGTTAATTTATTCTAACCTCTCTTTATGATTACACAATGTTATGCTGTATTTTTAGTGACACGCTTCAAAATCTCTCAGAATCAGAAATGTCACTCTTTCAAACTGCTGAGTTTGAGAAGAGGAAGAGCTCTTCCTCCTGTAGTCAAATCTGCCAGGTCTCAGTGAGCTGAAGTCGTGCCCAGTACTGGAGGGCGCTGCAGGGCACAAGGAGTTGGTTAGCACTTCCAGAAAAAAATGTCAGCTTTGGGGACAGACCGCTGGAAACAGCTGTTGGGGACAGGTGGAGGGGTGTGGAGCTAGGAAACAGCTACACTGGCTGCTCTAGGAAGGGGCTGTAAAGCACATGACAAACAGTGGCATGAGTTAATGCTGACTGTGCCACCTGTACCTCCTACTCCACAGACGTAGTTCTTCCTGGGCCATGTAGGAATGCCCTGCTGCAAAGAGGAAGCCAGCAGTAGCTTGGCATTTGAACTGCCTGCGCTGCCAGCATGCCAGATGATGGGCTTTGCCAGCAGGTCGAGTCAGAGATCAGTGGGGCACCACACCCCCCCACACACATGGGTCTTCATCTTCAGCCTCTGCTGGAAGTCCCCACATGCCTTACACAGCAGCATTTCGAACAGGGACCAAGGTGGAATAGCTGCAGCTCACAAAATGCTTGGATTCAGTCCATAACATTTCCCTTTCCCACAGATGTTGCAAGGAAGAGGAGTATGAGACCTGGGGAGGACTCAAAATGATGAACGTTAAATAAAACGTAGCAGCAGCACAGTCGCATTTAAAACAGCAATAGTCAATACACGGGTCGGAGAATGCCAGACAGCAGCACGAATGGGGACCACTGCCCTAACTGTTATGAACATCCACGGGATTGCTTTTGAAAGGAAATGTAGAAAGGTTTTTCCCCGCCCCCCCGCCAAGTGATCACACACACCAACAGATCTAATAAAAAAGGAGCAATTAATACACCGATGCTCAACCAAGATGCTGCTGCAAGGGTGCCGTGAGGTGCCACACAACGAGGTGTGCAACACCCTTCCCAGATACACCCCGAGGTTTCCAATAGGGCTCTGTTGTGTCACAGCGTCCTACCTATGGGGAATTTCTACCACCTTTATTTTTCCCCGAGCCCGAGGAAGGGCACGTGAGCCCGAAAGCTTGCAGAAAAAAGATTTTTAGTTTATTTTATTTTGTTTTGCGATGTCTTAATTGGCGAATAAAAGGTGGGCTGAGAGACGCTGCTCCTCGCACTCGAGAGCGCCGGGCGGGAGGAAGCGGGAGACCCCGCAGCCCGGCGGTGCGCACCCCAGGGGAGACGCGGGCTCCCGGCCAGGCAGGAGCGGAGCGCCCTGTCCCGTCCCGTCCCGTCCCGTCCCGCCTTGTCTCGCCAGATAGGCCGGGGCGAGGGCGGCGGCGGGGGGGGGGCGCGCCCGGG